AAGCTGGAGGCCGCCTGGCCTCAGGGCCATCTTGGCAGGCAGAGCTACGTCCTCTGACTAGCTCACTTCCCAGCACAGAAGCAGGCCTTGTAAGATCACAGCTGTTGGCTGACGCTGGAGTCCATATCACAGTTTATCAAAGAGGCTGGGCTTTCTCCCCCTCTCCCTTTCCGTAGAGAATAAGTGGACTGGTTCACTGCAAAACAAGCACTGTGCTTGTTCAGCCACATTAGCATGGAGGGTGGGAAGAGGATGGAGGAGGGAAATGTACATGAACACCTACTCTGGGCAGAGTTGTTTCAGCAGGGACAGGCCGGGCTACGGGAGGGTGCCCTGGATGCTGGGTGGTAGCCTGGTGCACGGGGCCAGCTCTTGGCACAGAAGGTCCAATGATTTCACCCCTTCTCCCGATTCTAGCCCCACTCCCACCACCACGGGAGGTGGAGCAAGAGGCCAAACAAGAGCTCCCCTTTATCAGCCCCATCGTGCCGGGGGCTGTGCTGAGTGCTCTAACATGCACATCTTATGTAATCCTCCCAACTCAACAAAGGCAGCCACTATCAGCATCTCCGTTTGAGGGACAAAGCAAAAAGTGCCTAGAAACCTGTCACACGGCTAACACCTGGAGGAACTGGGATTTGAACTTAAGTCTGTTTGACTCCAGAAGCTATACTCTTAATCTGGCTCCCCAAAGCCTGTAGGAGGCCCATCTACCTTCTCTGCGGGCATCCTAGGAGTGGGGGTTTGGGCACGGTTGGGGGTTCAGGAGCCTCAGCAAAGGTGACCAGTGCCAGGCTCCCCACAGCTGCCTTAACCCCGGCCTCCCTGCTCCCCCTCCGTCCTGGCCTCAAGCCCCTGCTGCCAGAAAGGCCCAGATTGGAACAAGTCTCAGTGAGTCTGTCCGAGACAGGAGGGTTTTGGAGCTGCTGGCTTCCCAAACCTCAATGTGTGCCTGAACTGTCGCGTCTACCAGATAATGAGGCCATCTGGACATGGAGAGAGGTTGTCTAGAGAGGGGCCTGGCTGGATTCAGCTGTCTGCTCCCAGACCCCCCACTCCCACATCGAGGTGTAGGCCTGGGAAAGGCGTGTGGGAGAGGAAAGGTTCCCGGGGTCCTGAGGGAAATCATGCATCTTCCTCAACTTCCAAGAAACCCACCAGATGTTTATCTTCAAGAACTCCCTTTGTCCTTCTAAGTCAGCCCTTCTCTACCCTATTGCAGCCACTCCTGGGCCCTGAGCTAAATGTACTACTGCAGAAATAACTGGCTTTTAACTGGTTCGCCAGAAGGATCTGCTTCCCTTCTGTCTCAAGGCTCAATCTTAGGGGCTGGGGGTTGGGGCACGACTTATAGTCTGCATACCACCTTAAGGAGAGGGTTAGGAAATTGCTAAGTGCATCTCTTATCAGGTTCGCAGCTTCATCTCGGCAGTCTGCAGGTACCATTAGTATGTCCCTCTTTAAAGCTGTCAGCAGAAAAAGAGGAAATGACCTGGAGAAGCAAGGGGGAAGGCAGCCACTCCCAAGGGCTCTTCCCCAGAACATCTCTGTGGAAGGGCTTCAGTCCCCTGCATGACCACAGGAAGGAGGGAGGAAACCACAGGTTTGGGAGGCCTCCTCTGCGGCAGGCACTGTGCTGTGTGGGCCGAGAGTCCAACTGGGTAGCCGGGACTGTGACCAGCAGCTGGTCAGAAGCAGGCCGGCATGCTGGCTTAGCAAGCAGCAGGTGGCCAGTTCGCAGAGCTGGCGTGGCCCTGAGGAGGCTAGGCTAGGAGGTCATAAGCTACAGCACATGACAACAGGTGCTGGGTACTGCTCTGGGGGTGGCAAGCTGGGCAGAGGAGGTAAATAACTAGGAAAGACACCATACATGCGGGGCTGGCCACAAGGTTCCTTCTATTCCATCCCCTGGGTTCTTTGTACTAGTGCCATGGTTTAGCAGATGCTGTGCCACTATGGTGGGCGGGAGTGAGGCCAGGCCTGGTGCCACTGGGGACTCCACGTCATCCACGTGGGGTTTGAGCCCTGGAATAGTGAGTGATCACCACGCGGCTGGACACATGGAGCCCCCAGCAGGATGAGATAGGAGGACTCACGGGCCCAGCTCCTGGGCCCTGGCTTTTTCGGGGCCCCACTGAACCTCCAGGCACCTGGTTCTGCACTTGCTCATAGAAGGGATGAAGTGGCAGCTGTGGACTTAGCAGAGTGCAGGGGTTCACAGCCCAGCTCTAACCCAGTCCAGAGTGTGCACTGCTTCCTCTTATTTTCCCTTCTGCCAAGCAGGGATTCCCAGGGAGACACTGAGCCCACAACGCCTCATGCCCAAGCATGCCCACACCACCTGCATTCTTGCTCTGTGTAGTCTGGGGTGCTTTTCACTACCCTGAAGCCCTCTCCCCAGTCCCTGATCAGGCATGTGAGGCTGATACAGGACGGAAAAACCCACGATAGCCCAGTTCTCCAAAGAGAGGATGCTGGTGACAAATGCCTTTTCAAAGATCTCTCTCTTCCCCCTGGATCTCTGCAAATCTTCCAGGCAAGGAGGACGTACCACGTGCTGACACCTCTGCAATTTGGAAAACTGCACAGAGTGCACTGTCACTCCTGTGGGGATATTCCACCATTCTCCTGGTGGGGACCTCCTGCACCACATCTAATCTCCTCACTGAAAACTGTCTAACCTGACGTGAAGACTAACCATGGCATGCTTCCTCTTTGGGTCAATGAGGATAAGAATCTGTTTCTGTCCCTCTGAAACAGTGGTTCTCAACTAGGGGTGATTCTGTCCCCCCACAGGAGACATCTGGCAATGTCTGGAGACATTTGCGGTTGTTACATTTGGGTGTGGAGTGCTACTGGCATCTACTGGGTAGAGCCCAGGGATGCTGCTAAACATCCTACAATGCACAGGACAGCCCCCATAACACAGATGGATCTGGCGCAAAATGCCAATAGTGCAGAGGCTGAGAAAACACTGCTCTATAAAAGCCCAGAAAAGTAAGAGGGTGGTGACCCAGCACTCCCTCCCCCATGCCACAGTGCATCCTTCTGGTAGGCCAGGCTCTTGACCCCTTCTTCCTTGCTGTTTGTCTTTCTGGTCAGGGAGGTATGTCCCCGTCCACAACTTAATTTTTTGGCCCATTCTCCAGCAGGGCACCCTCAACCTCACCTTTAGCCCTTGAGTTGGGGCCGCCTGCCCTCTTTCCTTTCACAGGGAAGCTTCTAGATCGAGGTGTCTATATCCACTACCTCCATTTCCCACTCCTCAGCTCCATCATTTGCTCTCAGTCCCCTCCCTGTGCCTGAGCTGGACCCCCTCGTCCCCTTCCCTCATTGCCTCCTGCAAGCTTCCTCCCTAGCCCTTCTTCTCAGCCTCCTTTCCCCCCTTCCTCACCATTTCATACTGGGGCTGCTCAGGGCTCGGCCTCACTACTGACCACTCTTACTCCCAGAGCTTCAGTCTCATCTTCCATGAGGGAAGAACCATCTAGATTGGTTCCTTGCACAGAGTTGGTGTTCAGTTAAGTATTTGTTGAATAAATGAATGAATATGCCATCATGTTCCAGATATGTATCTCAGGCCTCAGGTCCCTCTTTTGAGAAGTAGGTACAGCAAACTGCGTCTTCAATATCTCTCCTTTGATGTCTCCAGTACAGTTCAAACTCCAGCATGTGACCCTCCTCCCTCCTGCTCTTCCCCTGCAGGTCTCCTATCTCAAGGAATGGTACCACCATCCCCAGCTGCTCAAACCAGAGACATGGGGTCACTTCCAACTCCCTCTTCCCTCACTCCCTCATGCAGCCAATCACCAACCAGTTATGCCTTCTACTCATTATTGAATCCTGGCACTTCTTCCCATCCCAGTGAACAAGCTGCCACTGTCTCTTACCTGGACAACAGCTTCTCAACTGGTCTCCCTACACGTCCATTTTGCCCCCTCCACCCCATTCCCCACCAGCAACACAGTCATTTTTATAACTTAGAAATCTGGTCATGCCATTCCCCTGCTCAAGCCCTTTTACTGGCTTCCCACTGACCTCTGGGTAAGTCCCCAATCCTTAGTGTGGCCCACAAGGCTGGACCCTCTCCCCCTTGCTTTCTGGTTTACAGTGAAATGAACTCTCCATGCTCTTTTCTGCCTTGAAGGCTTTATCTAGGCAGGACCCTGTGCTGGGAATCCTTCCTCGACTCCCGGGCCCCCACATGGCTTTAGGAGCCTCTCGACAACTCTGACCACATTTGTGTCATGTGTTCCCCGAGGGACCTGGGCGCTTTAATAGCACCATCACCCCTAGGGGTTCTGCTTTCACAGGTCAGGGGTGAGGCACAGGCATCATCTTTATTCTTTTTAAAATTCTAACAAGCAGCTAGGGCTGAGAACCACTGCTGGGGAGTACTGGGGCCACCTAGACTACACCAGAAAACTCCTGTCTGGCTTTGTCAGGCGCTTGGGGGAATCTGTGCCCCTGATCTACATTTTACTGGCCTGGGGGTGACACTGGGCCGTGTTTCTGGAGCTGAGTAGGAGGCTAAGGGCCAGACTCAGCCATGCTGCTCTGGATGGAAGTTCTAGAGGCCTCAAGCCACCGGGGGCTGGTGCCCTGGAACTGCCCAGGACCAGGCTCGCGTGGCTCCAGAACCAGGCTCCATTGGCAAGCCACTGCTGCCACCAATCTCGGCCAAACCCTGTGCCGGGCTGGCTCCAGGGCACAGCCTCCCTTTTCTCCCCAAAAGACTGACAATGGTATTTAATGAGAATATCTAACCTCAAGGGAAAACAGTGTCTCAACAAATGAAAAATAAATTGATTTCTTTGGAAAAATGTCAACACTGACCTGCCTCATGTTGGTAGCACCAGCAACCCAGTATGAAGTTTCTTTTACAAACAAACATAAAGGTCAGGAAAAGGAGGAGAGAGAAGGGTTGCTTTGACATGTGAGATGGTATGAAAATTAGAACTCGAGGTGTGTGAGGAAGAAGAGAGGTTCGTGAGGCTGACCTGATGATGAAAGCACCTCTGGTCTCCAGGAGTTTCTGTTCACTGCTGAACCTCTTGAGAAGGTTGATCATGAACTTATAGAAGTAGGAGTTCATGGTAGGGGTGGAAGGAGAACATTCTAAGCCTTTGGTACCTGTAGAGAAAGGGACATTTGGGAATCAAGCTTAGCAGTGGGAGGGGATATCAGCTCCCAGAAGCATCAGCCGAAAGCACAAAACAGCAATGTGCTGAACCATCCAGAAGATTACAAACAAGTATGAGAGGAGCTTCTACGGGCTCACTTCATTAGATGCCAATGACAAGAGGGCAGCGTAGAGGAGCAGCAGTGTTTCCTTCTGCTGAACTCAGACCTCTCTTCTGTCTTCTCATGGCCCCTGTGGGGAAGTAGCTGGTAACTAGAAAAGGCATTTTTCTGTTTTGTGTTTCCCAGTTGTGAATTACTCTGAGGATTCCACACCACAAGCCACCTCCACAACGTCCTGTCCTCTCCCCGAGAACCTCCTAAACAGCTCTGGTGAACGCTGCATGGGACAAGCCTTGGGTGAGAAGCCCAGCTCCAGGGCAGGCCTCATTTAACTTCTTGGTGTTTGGGGTGTGTTGTTCTGGGTCCCTGCCCAGAACAGCCTGGCCTGGGAGATCCCGAGTGACTCTGGAATGGCAAACAGTCTCTGCTCCCTTGCCCAGAGGGGCTGTTTGTAGAATCAAGTGTCACATTCTTACAGCTTGAGTTACCCCAGGCTCAGCTGGGGATGAATTACCTCGGGCCCAGCTGGGGCTGATCTCTGATGAGGCACTGCAGATACAGCTGTTGAGGTGGCCCTGTTGCCCCTCAGTCCCCTCACTGTCCTCCCACTCATGATACAAGCTCAGCTGCATGGGTTGTGGCCAGACTGGGGCACTGGCTGCACAGTCCACACTGGAGGTGAGTGGGGGCTGACACCCAGTCATAGCAGCGTGCCCTAGGTGCTCATCTATGACAGCTGCTTGTGTCCTGTCCCCTTCCCACTTCTCCCCACTTCCAGGAAACAGGCCATTTAGGATCTTAAGTATTCCAAAGGACAAAGGATACAGGGAGTGACCACAAAGAAATTCTCCCCACGTGGGGCTATCTGGGGCCAGTCTCCACTCCTGAGGGCCGGGGTGCCTCTGGTAGGCACCGGGAGAGCTGCTGGTTCCAGCCTGCCACTGCTGGTGGGAGGCACTGAGCATGGTGTTAGGAGCTGGGCTTAGGAGTCTGTCAGGCCTGGGGTCAGCTCGGCGATCTACCACTAACTAGCTGTGCAACTTTGGGTAGATTTCTTAACCTCTCTAAGTTGCGGCTTCCTCATCTGTAAAGCGGGGGCAATGGGTCCCTATTAAATGAGACAGGCATGCAATGCACTCAGCCTGGGGCCTGCCACAGTCTCTGCTCAATAAACGGGGCTGCTGAGATCAGCAGACGTCCCACAGCAGAGCACTGCACGTGCAGATATTCTCACTGGGACCTCCCCCTTCCAGAAAGTCCCTGCAGTCTGCATCTCAAAATGGATGGCTGGGGGCGTTGGGGGACAGTCTGGAGATGTCTAGGTGGGGATACTCTGACTATTTCGTGGAGCACTGCCAGGAGGAAGGGAGGGTACAAGGAGGACAGGGAGTCACCCGTGACCTTTTGCACTCACTGGAAGGGATATCGGCTCACTTTAGCTGGCAGACTAGCCAAAGATGGCAGAAGAAAAGGCCTGGGCTGTTCTGGACACAGCTCCAAACTCCTTAGCTACCACCTTCCCTCTGGCCACGCTGCCCCACCCTGTCCACACGTCTAAGTCTCAATGTCGAGGCCACACAGTGACCCTGGAGCTGAGGCCATTAGGTGGGAGGGAGGAGGGCAATGACGAATCTTCAAGAAACCCGCCAACAATTCCCATTCTTGCAGCACAGTGGTTGTTGGGAGAGTTTCTCGGGCTCACTCTTGCCGTGCCCCCAGCCTTTAAAGATACAAACAGCAAGAGGCCAGACACTGCAATGGGGACCAGGCACCTTCCTAAGACTCAGCTCATGGGAAGCCAGAGCCGTGGCTTTCAGGCACTGTTCAGCCTGGCCTGCTGCTCTTGGGGGTGGGGAATTTCACCCTCCAGACAGGGGTGGCCCTGGGCTCCCATCTGCCAAACCACTACCCTCTGAGCAGAGGATACTCTCCAGGATGGGGCCTGAGCCTTGGATAGCCCAGCTGAGATCCCAGCTCAACTGGGAGAGACAACAGGCCTGGGCAGGCAATCCTCTCACCATGGGGAGGCGGCACTTGTGGGTAGGCTGGTCAAGGACCTGCAAGTTCCCGTCCTGCCCAGGGTAGGGAGGCCGGGGAGGCCCCAGGAATGGACAGGAGCTGTTTCAGGGCTCACTCGTACAGGTGAGGGCCAACTGGATCTCCCCTAGCCTCAGTTTCCCTCCTTGCCACCAGCTTTTCTTCTGACCTAAACAGCCCTTCAGGCCTAGGTGGCTTGAGATGGAACCTGAGAAAAGGTGTTCTCAGGCAGGGCTGCAGCATGGAGGAGGAGAGGGTGGGGAAGGTGGGGTGAGAGAGGGAAGAAGGAATTCACTCTGGGAGTGTTACTACAGGAGTGGCAGGATTCTCTCATCTGAAGTTACTTCTCCCCACAGCAGCCTGCCTCCTCCCAGAGAGAGCGCTCGAAGTGCTGAGGATGAGCCACTTCCACCCACATCTGAGCGAGAGCTCCTGTACTTAAGCCTCCACACACCTGACAAGCTCGGCTTGGGACCCAGCCCCCTCTCAGCAGCTCTGACAAAAGCCAATTCTGCCGAGGTCTGCTGAGCCTTCCTGACGATGTGCCGGGCCCTGGGCCCGGGGCCGTACACACATTGTTCGTGGATGCCACAGCCACCCCTTCTACATTTGCGGAGGTGGAGTGCTGCTCCAGGACAGCAGGCCAAGAAGGAGCAGAGCTAGAGGAGTGGGCACTCAGGCAGTCGAGCGCACACCCACCCTCCAACACTGCGCCCATGGGTCTGTAGACTACAGGGTTGGGAGGTCCCAATTCAGTGGCACAACTGACGGCACCAGAACCTTCCAGCCACTAGAGATGGGGGCGAGCTGGTCTGCCTCAGGCCCAGGAAGTGGGGAGGCGAGGACGAGGAATGAACTGGCATGTGTCTTGGGAGAGGGGCTTCCTTGGAGGGATGGAGGACCAGGCTGTGAGGGGAGTGCAGTGCTGGCCAGCAGCTATGGACAAGGCCAAATGCCAATGCTGCAGTTACAGTTTGGCCAGCTGGGAGCCTCTCCTGGCTGGGCTCTGGCAGGAAATTCACGTGACCCGACGCCTGGCTGAGGGGCAGACAGATGCTGTCGGGAGCTCTCTGTATACACAACCAGGCCGGTGTGGTGAGGGGCCGGGGGTGGGGGTGGGCAGCTCTGCAGATGTTGCTAAGTGAAACCTGATGGGGTGACATGAGAATCTGCAGAACGTCTCACAAACAACCTTCCCAGGGATGTTTTGGATTGAGTTTTGTGGCTATGACGTGAAGGAACCTCACATGTCAGGATAAAAATAGCTCTGCCTCAATGCATAATGCGACTTACAGTTCAACAAAACCAGATGCAAAAACATTAGCCGCCCAGCTCAAGCCCACCAAGGCCCTGCTCCACTCTCCTCCCACCTCCCTGCTGAGGAGGGTCAGAGGCTGGCCAGAGCACAGACACTGAAGTCTGGGGCCCCCAGGATCAGCCCCAGACCTATCGCTGGCTAGCAGGGCAGTCCTGGGTAAGGGACGGCTTCTCTGAAGCCGGTCCCCATCTGCAAGGCATTGCAGGATAGGGGGTGATGCTGTGTCTGGCGTGAGGCATGTTCCATGGAGGGGCTGCATGATTAGGAGGTGGCTATGGAACCAAGGAGACAGGGCTACGAAGGCGGCTTCCCTCCAGAATCAAGTGGCCGGGAGGAAGGGGAGGTGGTCAAGGCAGGGTCTGGAGGAATGTGGCGTCTGCTGAATTGGAGAGGACGCAATGCACCCCCCGCTGTGTGGACAAAACGGTGGTTAAAATGTGGTAGTAATGGTACCTTTGGAATCCAATCCAAGAAGCGACCACATTTTTATCTGTGAGCAGGTTCAGCTGAGGTCGGCGAGGACAAGTGCCCTCCACCGGCCTGGCACAATTGCCAGATCCAGGGGGAGTACTAGCTGCGCGGTTCAGAGTGAGAAAGAAACTAATGGGCTACAACAGGGCCTAGGAGCTTTCTTGCTGAGATGCAGTGGAGGGGCTGCACAGCTCTGGGATGGCAGCGAGGAGGAAGGTGGGGATGAGCCCCAGGTCATGGGCATGGATTGGAGTGTTCCATCTGGTGACAAATGAAGACCTGGGAGGGTGGTGAGGAGGAAGGGGGGATGTGCCCCAGGTCATAGGCATGGATTGGGGGTTCCATCTGGTGACAAGTGAAGGCCTGGGGCAAGGGCATGAGAGGACACCTCCCCAGGCAGAGTGCTGAGGGAGCCTCAGACCCTTGTAGTGCTTGGGCAATTGGCCCTGGGTCCCTCCTCCAATCATTTTAATTAACTCTGAAAAATGAGTACTGACCATTACTGGCTGTCTGACATTGGTGGTCCAGTGATAAGCAAGACCTGACCACTGAAAGGGGACATTTCCCATGGGGGGTCCTGAGCATCTGGGGTGGGGCCTGAACTCCCTTTTTTGTGAGCTCCTGGGTGAAGCCAGTGCTGCCACCACCTGCACTCTGAATAGCAAGGGTCTAAGAAGTCATAGCCAGGAGGGAACTGGCTGTGCACCCTACCACCCATGCCCAGTGTGATGGGCTGGAGGAACCAGAGGAGGGGCCTCTGAGCTGGCCGTAAGCACGCACACGATCGTGTAACGAAAGGACAAAGGTAAAGGCGGCACTTCACACATACCGTACACTCACATTAGTGCTATCTACGCTGGTGTACAGAATCCCAACCGCCCTTCACACTCCTTTACAGAGGGGGAGACGCAGCGGTGCACAGAGGTCAAAGGCGGGTGGGAGGCAGGGTTGCGCTGCCAGCCTAGGTCTCTTGGACCCCAGCACAGTCTCTTGTGTGGCTTCCTGGGTGCGAGGAGGGCCTTCAAGGCTCAAAGGGTAACAGGCAAGACCTCTTGGGGGCTGGAAACCATCTGGTGTGGCTGGAGGCCGTAGAAGGGCAAGAAATGAAAAGCTAAGGACAGAATGGGGTCTCTCAAATCACTGTGAAGACCGAAGCACAGCCCCAAGAACTGCTAGGTGGGAGCCATGGCCTGTACCCAGAGGAGGGTTTCTCATGCTCTGTGTCCCTTGTGCACTGTGTCCTGGGGAAGTGGTGAATGGAGCAGGTGCTCAGGCCACTCCTGGCCACCACCAATATCTCGGTTGTGTTGTCCTGTCCAGAGCGGGAGTAACACCAGTGCTCACCTCTCAGAGATGTCATGGGGAGTCAAGGAGCTAACTGGGGTGAGGGCTTGAGTATGCACGTAAAGTGCTTATGACAGTGCCTGGGGCCAGTATGAGCCCGATCACTGTTGGCAGCCATTATCACTATCACTGTTGTCATCGGGCAAAATGCCTCAGAGAGGGTTTTCTGGATTTCTTTTAGAACGTGTTTCTCTCTAGGGGCAGGAAGAGGCTCCTGACATTTGGCCACCCTCGCCTGGGCTATAAAGGATCAACGCAGAATCAGAACACTTCGTTTCTGCCCACGTTTTCAAAGCTAGGGGTAAAAACTCCAAGGGACCTGCATGGAACGTTGACATGAGCAGGTGGTGGGGGTGGGGTATCTCCCCCAAAGGGACACAGCACTGCAGCCTGTGAGCTCTCAAAACTGTGCTCCAGAGAGTACGAGGAAAGCAGGTTCCAAACAGGAAGAGGGTCTGGCCCTGTAGCCTCTGTCCACGTGTTCGGCCAGATGGAAACACAGTCTGCGGAGCAATGTGAGCAAGGGAGCTAGCAGAGAAAGGAGTGTACACTTTCCGCCTGCTTCCTGACCCAGAGAGCCACCCCAGACAGCCTTGGTGCCAGGGGAGACAGGAGCGGGGCAGGGACAGGAACAGCCCTGGCTTCTTGTGCTCTTCTGTCACTGATTTGATCTTGACCTTTTAAGATCACAGACCTGTTGGAAAAATCTGATGACAGCTGTGTACATGCATGTGTCCATATGTGGCTCTGCTAGGCTGTGGCCACACACACACACACATTTGGGTAGGATCTGGTAGTTCCCACACCCCTTGAAGTTCACTGTGGGCCTTAGGTGAAGAATTTGTGGTCCACAGAGCTGTGTGTCCTTGGAGGAAGAAGGGTGATTGGCTATAGCCACTTCCTCAGAGTTATTTCCAGGATGAACTCCTTCTCATCTGGCAGACCTTGTTTTTCTATGAATTCAGGACGAGTCCCCGGCTGATGTCTGCCAACCTTGGTGAGCTGGGGCAAGAGTTGCCATTGCCACACTCTTGTTAGCAGCTGCCCATCTTAGCGGGGCCAGGAGCTGGGGTGCAGAGCACTCTGCCACACAAGTCCCTCTCAGTCCTTGTTCCCAAGTGGCCCCAGGGTCTCTTGCAACATGATATCACTGGGAGTGACGGGGTGCTGGGATGCTGCAGGGCCTCCAGGGATCCCAGGCCTTCCTGCCCAAGGGTGTATACCCACCTCTTCAGCGGGGATGGGCCACTGCCCTTGAGCCACCCCAGCCTGAGCCGCCCCTGGGGCCTTGGTGGGCCTGTAGCAGTTTTCCTGCACATCCCTCCACCACTGAGTACCCATTTCACAGTCATTAACTTCTCTGTGAAGCCCTGGTGGCACAGTGGTTAAGAACTTGGCTGCTAACCAAAAGGTCGGCCGTTTGAATCCACCAGCCCCTCCTTGGAAACCCCATGGGGCAGTTCTACTCTGTCCTATAGGGTCACTATGAGTCAGAATCGACTTGACGGCAATGGGTTAACGTCTCTGTGCCTGAGAGGAAGGGACAAAACCCCTCAGAGATGAAAGGACAGATCACAGATCCTGGGAGGACCAAGGTGTCCTTCCTCTGCCCCAGGACTGGGCTGCCTCAAAGAGGTTTTTGCTTGTACCACCTGAGGAGAGACGACGCTATGACGGCTGCCTCCTGGGAAGGGAGATCCGAGGGCCAACACTCAAGGGCTCCTCTCCCCCGGCCTCCTCCCTGCAGGGTACCTTCTCTTGGCTTCTGCCCCCCATCAGTTCTTCTCCCATTGAGGCTCCCCATCCCTCTTCTTGGCCCTCATACCCAATCGCTGACATTCTGGCCGTCTACCCCAGGGACTTCAGATTGACCATAACGGTTGACCTGGGGACAAAGGATGGAGGGTGGACCCCTGGGCTGTGGGGCTGAAGACTGGCACATGCCCCAGCAGGGGTCAGGATGTGGGACCTGCTGCCCGACGATGGCCACTAACCACCTGGAGGTAATGGGGCTCACTGGCCCGGAAACAACTGTATGCTGGGAACACGAGAAGAGGAAGCTGGGGTGTCGCCTCAGCCCCTTATTGACTTCCTATCTGTGGTCAGAGACAGCTGGAGCTTGGGACTGGCTGGAGGCAACACACATGTGGTGGAGGTGGCCTGAGGACCATGGGTCCCCCGTGAAATCGCGCTGCAGAGGGTTGGGTAGCCCTTGGTTTAGTGTCGCTGGTGCAACGTCTTCAATGCATGGGCCTTCTGAGACTTGGCCTGGTACCCCCTAGAGTGCAGTTCGGCCTGCAGGGCCCCGGTGACTCCCAAGGACTCCCTGTACTTCCCAGGCATGGGGCCTGGGCCCTGGGCAAAACCGGGCTAAGGGGCTCCAAGACAGGGTTCTCAGGGCCAGGAATCAGACGCCCTCAGGGCTCAGTGTGGTGGGGCACAGGGGGAGGGTGAAAAGCCCCCAAACCTAGTTGACGCTTGGCTTCTGTGTCAAAGGATGAGCTGTCTAGGCACCTGTGTCTGATGTAAAGAGCTGCTTGATGGACAAAAAGACACCCAGGCAGACACCCAAGATTCCCTGGTGCTTTCCTACTGACTTGTGACCTTGGGTGTTTTCCAGCATTGGATCGCTGGAGGAAGCGGGAGTGTGCCTGGGAGGAAGGGAGCTACAGTCCACTGGCTGGAAGATGACTTGGTTGGGTATGGGGAAAGGAAGCCACAGGAGAAGCACTAGGAACGCAGGGCCACCTCCATGTCCAAGGTCTGCCCAGAGACATCCTGTTTGAATTGTCTTGTCCTTGTCTGGGCTGCCTGCTATGTTGTCAGCTATTTTTAGTTGCTTGGTGAGAAAGGAAATGGCTGCCTACCCTTCTTCCACCTGTGAACCCCAAGACTCTAAAGCCCCCATTGCCTGACTGGGGGGATGATAGGCTGAGTCAGATGGGTTTATATTTAGTCAATGGCTCAGAAGTATTAAAGGATACTTTGCCCAGATGTGCAGAAAGACGAGGCAGAAGGGATGTGAGGGTCCTTCCTGGGGGGATGCTGGAGTGTGGGCCACAAGGGGATACGAGGAGAGGTCTGCCTGCAGAGTGATGGATCGCTGGTAGGAAACTCAGTGATCCTGCATGTCCTGGCTGAGCTCCAGGCTCAAGAAGGGCAGCCCAAAGAACTGCCCTAGTCCAGGACAAGAACCAGAGAACCAGAACTGGCATTTCCCCCAAGGCCGGCAACACTGGGGACACTTACCAGGAATGTGCAATAGGCCAGCTCTGCCAGGGGTGGGCACCTGGAGCTCTGAGTGGCCAACCCGAAGGTCAGGGCCAACGAGTGGGCCTAGGTCATCTGTCTGACCTGCAGGGGAGGAAGCAATTTCTGCCAACACCTCCAGATCCTTCAGGATAACCTGCAAGAAGAGAAGCAGAGGGTGAGGGATAGACCTCCCCCAAGAGTTGTGCTGAGCAGAGGTGAGGCTGGAGACAGAGAACTGCTTCCCTGGGGTGGGGAGGTGGCTACACAGAGAACAGAAGGCAAGGGTAGATGTAGGGTCTAGAGAGAGCACAGCCACCAAGACTATGCTACAGAAGAACCTAGGAAAGTTTAACAAAGGATACGGATTTAAGAAAAGACAGGCAGTGGACAGGGCAACTGAGGAAAGAAGCGAGAACCTGAGGCCTGGCGAGGCACCTTTCCATGACCTTCCTCTCTGGATTCTATGGAGTCTGGTATCTGAGCAGGTATCTAAGAGGTCCCCAGGACATGTGGGACTCAGGCACCAGTGTGCCTGAGGTGGTGGGGCCTGCTCTGACTCCACAGGAGAGACACAAGGCTCAGGGTCTCTGCATCCATGGGCCCCGCTTCACCCACTTGTCCTGCCTGCTCCTTCAAGCCATGGCTACTCTACTCAGGCCTGTCTGTGCAGATGGACAGAGGTTCATGTCCTCTGAGGTACTCAAGGGCGGCAAACCTTTGTGGTCAAATGAGGCAAGTGAGCCCATGAGGCAGCTGGGGCCAGGCTGGCACTGGGTGAGAGGCCTGACACCAGGTCGGATACAATGAACATCTGAGGTATCCGGCAGGTGCCCATTTCCCTGTCAGAAAAGGTGCTGGTGGTTCCTTGGACCGCCTGGACCGCCTCAGGTCTGCCTCACCTTGAGAGGCTCCAGGGCCAGGTTGCCTCCCCAGGTGGGGAGGCCAGAGGGGGAAGCTGCCCTTGCTTGTCATCAGTCTCACCTTACGTGTGAGGACCCTGAGGCTTGAACAGTTACCTGCTCAAGGTAACTGCGAGTACACTTCAAGACCAGCTCTGATCCCCAAATCTCAGCCCATTAAGCTATACCAGGCTTTGGAGTCAGACAATCCTGATCCTGGACCAGTTAACTTCATCTACAAGTTCTGTCCCCCTTGATAGACAGACAGACAGACGGGCAGACAGACAGACAGACAGACACACACACATACACACACACACCATCCGAGTACCACCTGTGGGTCAGGAACTGGGCTAGTTGTGCCTTTGAGGTCCCTATCTCCTGGGAGAGAGGCTGGCAAACAAATACCAAAGATACAGCGTATGTGCAGTGGGAATCAGCAATTCGGCCTGCTGGGAGCCGAGGAGGCTGTGGACATACTTATACAGGAGTTCGCCAAGGGAATGAGGGTAGAGACAGGCGTCTGAAACTTTCTCTGACCTAGCACGAGCCATTCACGGACACGCAGACCCATGTGGCACATTCCAGGAAACTAAGCCTTGGTACAGCTTGGAAGAGGGGCAAAGGTGGGGGAGGTGGGTGGCAAGTGGGGTACAGCTGGAGATCAGGAGCAAGTGGTAGGCAGGGGCTGATCATCAGACCCAGACAGAGGCGTGTGAACTGGCTTTGGGGTGATGGCAGCCTCAGTTTCCTTGTACGTGAAGGTGGAGATTTTCACCTTGCAAGGTGGTTGTGACAATCACAGGAGCCACTGTATGTGCAGAGCACAAAGAGCAGGCACACCAGGAAGGCTGGTTCCCCACTTGCACTGCGACGTTTTGGAACTGCAGTCAACTCGTTCGGTGGCCCTGGTTCCATACCCCTGGCTGCCATGGCTGGGCAGGGACAGTGGGGTGGGCATAGAGGGCTGCAGACCTCCGTTTCTCCACCCAACAGAGACTGCCTCATCCCATCTCTGTCCCACCTTCTCCTGCCCCCACTGGAGAGCTCAGCCAGAAAAGCTGCATATTTTACATTTTGATTCTCTTATTTTAGAAAGTTTAACACCAAATGGCAAATGAATGCAAATTACACTTCAATTGCACAATTAAAGCCGGAAATGTTGTCTACAGGTTCCTTCAGTAATCCCAGCCACGCCTCTTGTGCTTACATATCAAAAGATTTGTCTCTGGTCCCCAGGGGCTGGCAAAAAGCCCAAAGCCCTGCTTTAGGCGACACCATGTGTACATGTGTGCGCGCACACACAGCACCCCTCCTGTCCCTTCGCAGGGAGTCAGGGACAGGATTGCAACCTCCTTCAGCTGCACACCTCCTAGAATGGAGGGCCAGGACTGACTCTAGGAGGGTTCAGGGAGCCTGAGGGGAGTCAATCAGGGCCGCAAGGCAGCCCTGACATCCAGGCTGCCATTCCCATCCATCCCAGCCTCTGCCTCTCTCCAAGTCCACCAGCAAGCCTACTCAGTCCAGGTGCTGAATTAACTTAGAGGCTTTATAGCCACAATCCTGCCGTAGAACAAGCCTTGGCCCCTGCCCGGGGAGAAGGGGCACTGGCAGAAGGGAGGGCACCAGGAGGCAATGCCAGCAGGGGCCTGGGACTGCTGAGGCACTATCCTCCCTGCTGGGCCTGACTTTGTGTCTCTGTCCCCAGGCCAGGGTTTTAGTGTTTTGGCAGCCCACCCACCTGGAGACCCGCAGCCCCTGAGGTGAGGGCAAGAATCTCTGGGAGGAGGGACAAGGTGGCCTCAGCAGCCTAGGTTACAGAGCACCACAGGCACACTGCTCCACCACCCCTGCTTCCTTTGGCCTCTGGAAAACCAGATCCCGCTGCCGTCCACTGCACAGGCTGCTGGGCTTGTGCCCGAGCTGGCCTGCAGCCCTGGCTCTGAGAACGGGAAAGGCTCAAAGGAAGTGGGAGGAAGCTACCCCAATTAGTATGCACTACACAGCCTTCTGCAAAATGAATATAAAACACTTGTGCTTTCTTTTTGTGTGAGAGAAAGAAGGGGGAAAAGAGAGGGAGGGAGGAAGGTTACAAGAAAGCAATATTCTGCAGGAGCAGGAGTGCCTGCTGCTTCCATGGCAACAGGCTGGGGGTGGGGAAAGCCATCAGCTGGCCCCTGGTTCTGGAGTGAGCAGGCCATCGGTGGAGGGAAAGGGTTGGGGGCCACTGGGTGTGGAAAACCTCTGACGAAGCAACTCTGGGGGCAAGACCTCAGGGGCAGGAGGAGGGTGCTTTGTGCCCAACACAGCTTGGCCAGTAAAGACCAGAAAGCCAGAGGATTCCTGAGAACGCCCTGCTTTTTGGAGGTGACTTTACACAGCAGGGTTTCACCAGCACAGGGCCTGTTTCTTTGGGAGGGCATCAGGATCTAGAGGGGCCACACAGGCTGTATGCCCCACTCTATTCTTGTGGCCAAGGACAATTTCTCCAGGAGGCTAGGTGTACCCTCCCTTTTACTGGACCACCACCCCACGCCACAGACAGCCCTGGAAAACCACTCACACCTGGCAGCTCCTGGGCATCCTGGGAGAAGCTGGAGACCAGCCAGCTCTGCGGTGCCAAGTCACTAGGCCGGGAGGCTCATCCTCACCTACCAACCTCCTGAGCATAAGTTGTAGGGAGGCACTCGGCAGATGCGGAATAAGTGTTGCTGAGTGGCAGCAGTAGGCAGGAAGTGGAGATAAATGGCCGTGAATGACCATGGCTGAGAGTGATGGCTGGAGGGGCCTCCACTTCACTCCTCCCTCTTATCTTTAAGGAACTTTTGCCCAAGGTTTTGACCATTGGTTAGCTGATCAGGTCCTCGACGTCAATCGGCTCGGCCTTCCAGCCTCACGAGGAGGGGAGCCTCCTCATGCTGACAGGAAATGGACAGACACCCCCAAGCTGGGGCCCCAGTGGTCCCGGCCAGGAGGGAGCTGCAAGTCTGTTTCTAGGGGATGCATGTGGTGCTGGCAGGAGGGGTGAATTCAGGCTAACGGCCCAGGAGGCCAAGGTCTGGCCAGTGCAGGCCACTGCCTAGGGCCATCCGATGCCTCTGCCTGGAGCAGCAGGGCGCAGAGCTGTGGCCTTGGCTGAGACCCAGGTCAGGTTGTGCCGCTCTTTATTCTTATGACATGGAGCTGACCTTAAGTGCGGGTACACTGACGACGGGCATCCACAGGACCCTTGGCCCTCTGCTTGTCCTTCCTTCCTACGGGGTTACAGTGTGGCAAGCCAGCCCTCTCAGTTCCTGACCACATGCAGAGTGGCCCCTGCAGGGCCCAAGTGAAGCCACAGGGGCTTGCACAGGCCCCAGAACAGTCAGGCCCAGGGACCTCCACCTGGACACAGGAGGCGCAACTGGCCTACCCGCCCAGGAGAGTGGGTGGTGTTCTGAGAAAAATGCTGGTCTACACTGGATCACACCCGCTTCCCGTGCCCAGCGTGTCCTTCTGCAACAAGGGAGGAAAGGCCAGTCAGAAAGAAGAGCACTTAGATTTGGGGGTGGGGAGAGACGGACTGCTGAGGCTTAGACCTATTTTTTTTTCCCACTGAGGAAAAAAATATCCTGATTAAAAACCTTTTATGCCTTGATAAAACAAAACAATTAACAACAACAAAAAAATGGATTATATCTCAGTCTGTGTTGTCTGACTTTGAACGCAAGCCCTTAGGGATCAGGACTGCTTTCTCTTCTTTTTTTAAAGAAAGCTTTGAAAATTCTTTCCTAAGTGCCTAGTACTGTGCCAAAGATGCACAAGGCCAGCACCTGATGTTTATTGTTAAAATTCCCCTCATTAACAGTGATGCACAGTCCCCCTAGCAGCAACTCTGCAGGTAAAGGAGAACATAAAGGCCAGCCTGGCTGGGGTGAGACAACTGGGAGACCAGATACCCACCCCCAGGGCCTCCTTCCTGCTGACTCAAGCCACTGCTCATTTGCATCATCCCAGGCCCCTGACCAGAGGGAGCACTCTCAGGGCAACAAATTCTCCCCTTGAGCTGGGCAGGGCCCGGCAGTATGAGGGCTGTGTACGCACACTGTTATAGCTCAGTTACCAGGCGAGGGGCTGAGGGCTGGCTGTCTCCAGGGCACCAGTCCATGGCAACAGAGACAGATTACCCAATAAGCAAGATATGCTCAGGCTTAACTGTGCTTACTTACTGATCTGTGGTGCACAAATGTGAAACTGTTTGCCACAGATTAGTAAG